ACGTAAGTACTAACTAAGTAACAACATACGACACTACTACTAACTAACTACACTACACACACACTATATATATATATATATATATATATATATATGTGTGTGTGTGTGTGTGTGTGTGTGTGTGTGTGTGTACATATTGTTTTTCCAAAAATACGCTTATATTATTAGTTTGATAGTTCACATATTTATATCCGATCTTTTATAACTTCATAATATTAATATTAATTAATTTAAAGTAGCATTTAGGGCGTACAGCTAGATTTTTCTTTTATGCTAACAAATCGTTAAGCTTTGTATATGATAAAACTTTAGTAATTTTCCTTGTGATGATTTCTGTCAATTTAATGCAAATAAGAATTACCCTCCCCCTCAAATGCTTCATTACTGATTGTTTCAAGGTAGTGTGATCTTACATTACAGTAAAGTTTAATTTCACACGCTTTTTTTTTCCCCCACAATTTAAGTCAATTGATAAAAATGAAACTTTTAAAACTCAAATATACATATATATCATATCAAGTCTTCATAAACTTTAGAGGTCGGCACACCTAATTTACTTTGTCAATATCCAGGTTAATATTAATTGGGTATCACAATTATTATTCTAAAAACCTGTATTGGATCGCAAGTGAAAAACAACAAATTAATTACTTCCACTACGCTTACGTCACGTTACTTACTACTAGAGTCTGTCTGTCTGTGGTAAATGTCTGTCATTGTATACTTAGGAAATACCGCTTAAATTATTAGAATTGAAATACGTAGACTTGATTGACCTCTATAGACCATAAACGGTTTACATTTTTTAATGTAAAATGTAAATATAAAGCACACCCTTATGGAACTTTCGCATGACCAGTTGTTCTGTCATAGCTGAATAGCACGTATTACAGAGTTATAACACCAATCCCTATCTGTCTACGGAAATGGGTCATGCGAGACTTGCCTATTATCTATATAAACCGTCGTAAGTGTACACGTGAACAGCCTTCCAAAACTGGATCACGGCGGACCAGTCTTTGCGGTTTCTTATCGAGGTCGGAAAACTGTACACCGGTTACCTAAACAGGGCCCATGGAAAACAGACGAAGCATTCCTACGCGCGCTTAGACAATTCCAACACCGGGTCGTTTTCCTGAAGCTATAATACCAGTTCGGACAAGCAGTAATTTAAGTTCTTTTTTTATTCTAGCCATATAATTAGAACTCCAAATGATAAAATAAATGATTAAACAAGAACAAATAACGGAGCAATTATGTTACATATGCATGCGCTTTCACAAATGTCACATTATTGTTACTCCATTACACGGTCTAGTTTTCTACACAATTACTGAAGTAAGAAACTTTGCAATTTTGAAACTTAAGGGTGAATGCCATACTAAAATACTGAAGATACACATCTGTGACGTTTATTCGAACTAAAGCTTCGTACTACTTTAAGAAACGAGTGGGTTGAGAAAATGAAATCCCTACCAATAACATTATCTTCTTATAAAAATAAATAGGGCAAGTACGAAAATGACTAAAAGGATCAAACAAACGTCTACAGTGATGATATTTCTTCTAAAACAGTTGTACAGGATCAGAAACATATATACAAACATTGGGGAAAAAATACAAGCAACAACCTGTAAGTTTAAGCAGTAAAAAAAAAAAGTCGATAATGGAATACACTTCCAAGCACAGATTCAACCACACAGAAGGATTAACGCGCATTAGCCAGGCATAAGGCGTCAAGTGTAACTTTGCATGCTAAGATTATAAATGTAATTTATATTTGGTTGACAGATATAACTTGGTTTATTAAATGTATACAACAACTTATCATCTTTCCTTTGTTTTATTAAATCGTCTCGTAGTTTTATATGTTTTTATAACGAAGTTTAGTTGTACATTAATATATTGTCGTGTTCATAAATCGATCTAATAATTAAACATACGACTTGATAAAAACAGCTGCTTAGCATGATTATACATGCTCTGGAAGTTTACAAAGAATATGTGACAGCTAGAAATCATCCTGTTTCACGACGTAATTATAAGTTTATCACATCGACCACTTTTTTAAAGTTTTGGCTGCTCAAGTAAAGTAATGCGTCTTTCCGGTTACGTTGATTACTATTGTTCCACGACGACTATTGTCAACTGTCGAAAAGAGGCCGTAGCAGTCGTTCCTTTACAACATGTTTTGTAATAATATCCCACTTCTACTTTCTACGTAAACACACATTTATAAGCACCAGGATGTTCGTTTGTAAGTAAACGTGTTTCCCGGTAAACCACACCTAATAACAAATTGGAAGTAAAATACAAAAAGTGTAATATTTACAACTTTTACTTAAGGTATCTACTCATTTGTTATATATGCTTTTTTCAGTTTTTCAACTGTGATCATATCTTTAATGTGAAGACGATACTTAGCCACACCAGTAACGTTTCTAACAACGATTAATAATGAAATCAAATAAACTTATACTAACCTAAAACTTCTTTATAACTTTGCGCTAGCAATGTAAGTCTAGAGGGAAGGTAACTAGTCATCACCACCCACCGTCGACTCTTTGACTACTCTTTTACCAACGTGGGATTGACCGTACATTATAACGCACCCACGGCTGAAAGGGTGAGCATGTTTGGTGTAACGGGAACTCGAACCCGCGAACCTCAGATTGCGAGTCGAGCGCCCTAACCACCTGGCCATACCGGGCCTTTATATTTTGTACTGAGAGCATTTTAAGATTTTCTTTTAGTTGATACAACAACCGCTCGTTCTTCAACAGCATGTCAAGAATATTAAGAAGATAGTTCATAATGATTCTAACATACTCACCCCCTTATTATCTTCAAATTGAATGGTTGGTTGGTTTGGTGTATGGTCCTAGAAAATTACAAAACACATAAAATTAATTCTTAAATGTCATTTTAAAAACAATCTAAACAAAGTTCAAATTGGAATTGCATATATATGAACTACTTCTAAGGGAATTTAATTAGACATTTAAATATAAAATATTAATAAAAACACATAAATACTAGACAATATTACTCTCATTTCCAATGTAATGTAAATAAAAATGCAAAAAATAATAATAAAAGACTGCAAGCTGTTATTTTGTCTAATTAAGTTTTAAAAAGGAAATTCTTTATACTTCACGATGAAAAATATCTGGTTCTTCACACTTTTATAAAAAATCATCTATATCATATTTTAAAATTAAAAACTACAGCTGTGAGCCAGTAACAACCAATATTTCAAGGAGACCTCATAATTCTGGTTAATGGTGACTTATAGTAATTAAAAGTGGATATACTTTTAAATAATCATTAGTAGAAAACAGCTACCAATTATATATACCGGTAGTTTCTTTCACTGTTTTTATATAAATATAGTAGACAAAAATAACTTAAAGAAAACAGAACAATGAAAAGAAAAATAAATTATAGTGGTCACAACCAACATCTTATACATATTGCCAACCGTGGTGTCTGAGCGTTCGTCGGTCTCCCGTTTGAAAAGCTACGCAAGCAGACAAAGCTCGGCATTCACTTTTGAAATGACGGGAGAACAAGCATGAGTAATGTTGATGCTAATTTATATTTCACAAGTAGGATATTCAACATTAAACTGTTAGGAAGTAATCACACCGTTATTCACATTTTAAAATGTGACGTAACTTAAAGAATAAAAATGTAGTTTTATCGTATGATATTAAGCAGCTCTTACCATGACTGAAATACTCAACAATTACTTTTCGCAATGGGCGGTATAACTAGCTCAGAGCTTTGTCTCTGAATGAAACCAAGATTGAAACACAGCTAACCTTTTTAAAGTCCATGAAATAATTTTAACTTTTCCCGTCACTGGGGACGGGTACTTTTGGTTGTGCCTAATAATTCAATGGCCTGACTATAACCTCAGGTCTCAGGGACTGCTACACAATTATGATTAAACCCTGAATAGTGTGATAGTTGGTTGTTTGTAGTTAAGCACAAAGCTACATAATGGGCTACCTGTGCTGTGCCTACCAGGAGTATCCAAACCTGGTTTCTAGCAGTGCAAGTCTGCAGACATACCGCTGTGCTAGGTGGGGGGGGGGGGTTAGGTTTGATAGTAATGATTTGTTAGAATATAACTAGACTTGTTAACACTTACTTCCACCCTTAACAAAACCAAAATTAATTACATTAGAATTACAACTGAATGGTATCAAGTTAGTTTATTATACTTTAATCTCAATAGGCAATTTATAATGAAGGCATATGTGTCAACATTCTAGTTGAAATATATACAATAAATGTTTTTCATCTTTTCATATTCATTATGTTAGTTTTATGAGGAATCCTCATTTTAAAATATTAATTTAATAAGTTGGGCATAAGCATTTTTTATTTCCACACCTACTATCCATGCATACACAAACTAATGAAAGTATTGTTTGTTTATTTTGAATATTCGCGCAAAGTTACATAAGGTCTATCTGCGCTCGCCATCCCTAATTACGAATTGATGAACTAGAAGGAAGGAAACTAATTAATAGCACCTACGGCCAATTCTTGGTCTATTCTAAGCCGGGCTCTGACTGTCACTATTATAACGTATCTACGATAACGATACGTGAGCCGTGGACCCTCGGGTTCACAGCCCAGCACGCGTAAGACAAGATACTCAATAATTTTTTTTTTTCAATGTGAAAAAATTGTTGTAACACGAGCACACTGTTATTTCGGAAACATTCTTTTCAAAACATGTAGCTATCTGACGCACCATTACAATTTAATTAGTACTACCGCATCAGTTTTTAATAACTTTTATAGTAGGCCACCTATATAAAACATAAAATTAAGTATACACAAACCAATTTTATATAACAAACTAACGAGAAGTCGTTTGTTTATTGAATTTCGCGCAAAGCCACTCGAGGGCAAACCTTCCTTTATTTTTAAATAATACATTAGAGGGAAGGTAACAAATCAACACCTCCCACCCCTAATTCTTGACGTACTCTTTATCAATGAAAAGTGAAACTGACCGTCACATTATAACGCCCCCACAGCTGAAAGGGAGAGCACGTTCGGTATCATAATTGGAAACAGAGACCCGCAGATTACTAGTCAAGCGCCCTAACCACCAGGCCATAAATATAAATACTTAATATTATAAATGAACTCTAAAGAAAATAATTATAATAAATACTGTGCAATAAATCACCAGCTGGTTCCTTCCACATCAAGGCCCAGTCTACGCTTGTTTGTTAGTAATTATAAAAACTTCACAATGGGCTGTATGTGACGTGCCCACCATGTCCGAAGCTAAAGTGAAAATTTACACGAAGTCTAAACATCAACTAGTACACAGGCTCAGCCTTAATACTGTAAAACTTTTCCATATGGAAGTAAATTTAAATAGTGCATTACGTTGAATCTCAAATTTTAACCGAGGTCCGACCCTCGGTGAGCTCGTAGCTAGCTACTACCGTGGTGTCCACCACCAATATCGAGACCCAATTTTTGCGTTATAAGCCCTGGAACTTACCGATGATCAGCATACTTGGAAGATTAAAATTAAACCCAAATCTAGACACTAAGCCAACAATACAAAATAATCTCTCTATGTATAAATACTTATAAAAATCAAAATTACTATTTACATTTGAACCAATAGTAAGTATAATTCATTATTATAATTTTACGTATTTGCTTAATCAGTGGCACATTGCAGACAGAAAAAAAGAGTAAAAAGTCATGGTTGAAAAAAAAAAGACGACTCGACCAGAAATGGAACGTCAAATAACAATAGTGTTCTATATACACTTAAACATAAACTTGGTTAGTCAGAAAATTATATACATTTAATCATTTTTACATCTGGTGTGCTAAAACGAATTTTTTATTGATGTTCCAAAACAAAGGCAGAAGCTGAAAGATATTTCAAACGCTACAAAAAATTCCGTTTTCATTTATTTCTATTCCCAAAAGCAGAATTGAAAAATACGGCCAAACAACCTATTAGACACACCAAGACCATGGACAAATTGGAGAGTCTTATGAAATTTAAGTTCTAACAGTGTCTCGTTCCTTGAGTCTTAGCACAAAGTTCCATTAAAATTCAAGGTGTTTTTTTATAGATATATTTTTGTTTGTTATTTAATGGAAACTATACTTTTAAACATACGAGAACAATAACAAAAACCAGTTTACCCGTGCGATCATGCAGAACTAAGCGACGAATCGGGTGAAAAAGACGCCCTCTAGTGACTTCTAAATCCAGTTCACCACACGAGTTATTTATATTTAATATATTTTTTAGTGTTCACATACTCACCATGGTTGTCATAGCCAGGATTTTATGCAACACGTATATTTTTTTAAAACAATTATAAAACTAAAATATTAAATATTTACCGTATTTTTCGTTGTAAGACGCACTTTTTTTACCCCAAAATTTGACGTCAAAATCTGCTTGCGTCCTATACAACAAAGGTATGAATAACATATATGTATATATATACGATATACACAAGCCATGTGTAAATATATTTAAATAGTCATGCATAGTTTA